TGCAGTGGCCGTGAACATGCCACTGCCCTCCTGCCTGGGTGACAGAGTGAGACTCTGACTCAAAAAAAGAAAATAAAAGAAAAGTAAATAAATGGTTGTGGCTCAGGCTGAGGTGGGAAGATTGCTTGAGGCCAGGAGTTTGAGAACAGTCCTCATTTCTCCAAAAATTAAAAGAATTAGCTGAACAAGGTGGCATCGGTCTATAGTCCCAGGTACTCATAAGAGTGAGGTGGAAGGATCACCTGAACCTAGCAGGTCAAGGCTGCAGTGGCTGTGATGGTGCCACTGCACTCCAGCCTAGGCGTCAGAATGAGACCCTCACTCAAACAAACAAACAAAAATATAAATTTATGGACACTGCAATTTGCATTTCATATACTTTTCTCATCACAAAACATCATTCTTCTTTGATTTCTTAGTTCGCAGGCCCCATGCAAAAACAGACAGTGGTCTGAACTTGGCTGGAGATCAAAGTTTACTGGTCCTTGCCATGAACTGTAAGCTTTATGGAGGCAGAGACCATTATCTTTTCCCCCCATTACTTCACTGAGGTCCAACACAAAGCCTCATGTGCATCTGATCAATAGTTGGCAACTGAATTATTAAAGAGCAATTTGTGCATTAAACATTTTTATTACAAAAGATACTGTGTGTTTATGGGGAAATAATGAGCAGCATAGCTAAACAAAATGAATAAAAAACTCTTAGTAATCCTACCACTCAGAGATAACCATATCCTTTTCATACTTTAATGCAGTAGGTAGCAGGATTTTAGGAAAAGCTTATTTCCTGACCAAGGGAGTGGTGGTTTCATTTTCCCTCAATCCGCCAGAGACCTAGGCTTCTCCTTCATGGCTATAGGGGTTTAAAGCTGAGAGGAAAGAAGAGTGGGGAGGGTGGGAAATATGTGGGAAAAGCAATCTGATAAGCAGTTAATGAGCTCCTACTGTATGTCAAGCCAGGCTACGCATCCTGGGAGATAGATTAGCACCCATCCTTTCTGGGTTTACATTTGAAAGGGTAGACATAAAATTATAAGTGCAATAAAGGTCACCAAAGGGTACACACAAGGTGCTTTGAGGGTATAATGAGGAGGAGGGTCAGGAAATGCCTCTCTCTCTAAGGAAGTGACATTTAGGCTGATTAAGAGTTGGTTGAAGCCGGGCTCGGTGGCTCAGCCTGTAATCCCGCGCCTTTGGGAGACTGAGGTGAGTGGATTGCCTGAGCCCGCGGGTTCGAGACCCGCCTGGGCAATGAGACCTCATCTCTACCATAAATCAAAAAATCAGCCGGGCGTGGTAGCGCGTGCCTGTAATTCTGGCTACTCGGAAGGCTGAGGCGGAAGGATCGCCGGCAGGTCGAGGCTGCGGTGGCCGGGAGCGGCCACTGCACTCCAGTCTGGGCGACAGAGTGAGACTCCAACTCACAAAAAAAAAAAAAAAAAAAAAGTGTTGGTTGAGCAAGAACCAAGTTCCACAATGAGAGTGCGTCTTTATTTGGAGGTGTTTGGCTGGAGGGTAGCGGGGGAGGAAAGTAGCATGAGATCAGTCTGCAGAAGCTGGCAGCGACCACATCAAAAAAGCCTTGTCATTTAAATTTAACTACCCATTTACAGGAACTAAAGGAGACAGATGAACAAATTAAAAACACCCCGAGGAAGTAATCTGCCAGCTTCAGAATGAGGAACATTCAACAGGACAAATGGTTACACTTCTTATTGAATTAGTGGCTTGGAAATAAAAAGCAAAAGGGAGGGAGGTCTGTCACAAAATAAGAAACTGAAGAGACATAACAACCAAAAATAATGTGTGAATCTTATTTATTTCTTGATTGGACAAATGAACTGTAGAAGGTATCTTTGAGATAACAAAAGAAACTTGAATATGAACTGGGCATTATAACATATTAAGGAATTGTTCATTTCATTGGGTCTGAAAGTGGAATGGTGTTTACATTTTTTTCTTTTTTGAGTCGGAGTCTCACTCTGTCACCCAGGCTGGAGTGCAGTGGCATGCTCACGGCCACCACAGCCTTGACCTGCTGGGCTCAGGTGATCCTTCCAAGTAGCCTTCCAAGTAGCTGGAACCACAGGTGCACGCCACCACACCCGACTAATTTTTTGATTTATTGTAGAGATGAGGTCATGCCAAGTTGCCCAGCTTTGTCTTGAACCCGTGGGCTCAGGCAATCCTCTCACCTCAGCCTCCCAAAGTACTGGGATTACAGGCTTGAGCCACCATGCCTGACCAACAAATATCAGTTGGGGTGGTAGGGCCATGGGAAGGAGAGATGTCTGGCTTGATCTTTTTTTTTTTTTTAGTTGGAGTCTCACTCTGTCGCCCAGACTGGAGTGCAGTGGCCGCTCCCGGCCACCGCAGCCTTGACCTGCTGGGCTCCGGTGATCCTTCCGCCTCAGCCTTCCAAGTAGCTGGAACTACAGGCGCGCGCTACCACACCCGGCTCATTTTTGATTTATTGCAGAGATGAGGTCTCGCCTGCCCAGCGGGTCTCGAACCCGCGGGCTCAGGCAATCCACTCACCTCAGCCTCCCAAAGGCGCGGGATTACAGGCTGAGCCACCAAGCCCAGCTGGCTTGATGTTTTTTACCCACTCTGAGGCTATAGTGCTGGGGTCTGGGTGGGAAAGGGCACCTATATATATATATATATTTTTTTTTGAGTTGGAGTCTCACTCTGTCGTCCAGGCTGAAGTGCAGTGGCACGCTCATGGCCACCACAGCCTTGACCTGCTGGGCTCAGGCGATTCTTCCACCTCAGCCTTCCAAGTAGCTGGAACTACAGATGCGTGCCACCATGCCCGGCTAATTTTTTTGTGATTTATTGTAGAAATGAGGGCTCACCAAGTTGCCCAGGCTGGCCTCGAACCCCTGGACTCAGGCAATTCTCTCACCTCAGCCTCCCAAAGCTGGGATTATAGGCATGAGCCACCGCGCCCAGCGGGTGTTTACATTTTTAAAAAGCGCTTATTAATTATAGGTGCATATACGTGAGATGACTGAAGTCTGGAGTGTGCTTTAAGGTATTCTGGAAAAAAGCTGGAGGTGGGAATAATATAATGGGCAAAATGTTGATAATTGTTGAAGCTGGGTGATGAATATGTAGAGATTCATTATGCTAAAGCCTCTGGGCTTTCGTATACATGAAAATTTTATATAATAGAATATAATAAGAGAGAATGACAGAGAGAGGCATTTTATAAGCCATACTAAGAAATCTGAGTTTGCTTTTTAACTTATTTTGAAAAAAATTTTAGATGTATAGATGAGTTGCAAAGATAATAGTGTTCCCATATACTCTTCACCAACTTCTTCTAATGTTGTATCTTACATAACCATGGCATGTTTACCAAAACTAAGAAATGAGCATTGATACAATACTATTAGCTGAACTACAGACTTTATTCAGATTTCTTCAGTTTTTTCACTACTATTCTTTTTCTGTTCCAGGATGCAGTCCAGGATATTGTATTTAGCTGTCGCGTCTCTTTAGTCTCTTCCAGTCTGTCACAGTGTCTTGGTCTTTCCTTGCCTTCATGACTTTGACAATTTTGAAGTACAGTGCCAAGTGTTGGATTTGTCTGATGTTTTGTCATGATTAGACTGAGGCTGTGGATTTTGGGGAAGAATACCACAGAGGTGACTGTGTCCTTCTCATCACACCATGCCAGGGGGAACATAATGTCAACAGGACTTCTAATTTTGAGTCAGAGTCTCACTCTGTCCCCCAGGCTGGAGTGCAGTGGCACGATCACAACTACTGCAGCCTTCTGCTTCAGTCTTCCAAGTAGCTGGGACTACAGGCACATGTCATCATGCCTGGCTAACATTTTTTTAAAGTTTATTGTAGAGACATGGTCTTGCTATGTTGCCCAGGCTGTTCTTGAATTCCTGGGCTCAGGCAATTCTCTCACCTTGGCTTCCCAAGTGCTGAGATTATAGGTGTGAGCCACCGTGCCCAGCCAACTTATTACTTATTATTAGCCTTGATCCCTTGGTTAAGGTGGTGTCTGCCAGGTTTCTCCATTATTTTTCCCTTTTTGTATGCAGTGACACTGAAGTCATTAAGTTCAGCCCACACTCAAGGGATTGTAAGAGTTAAGGGGAGTCACTGAAGGAATTTAAGCAAGGGAGAAATGAGTTCAAATGTCTGTTTTTTGTTTTTTTGTTTTTTGAGTCAAAGTCTTACTCCCTCACCCAGGCTGGAGTGCAGTGGCCCACTCACGGCCACCCCAGCATCAACCTGCTGGGCTCAGGTGATACTTCTGCCTCAGCCTTCCGAGTAGCCAGAACTACAGGTGCGTGCTACCACACCCAACTAATTGTTTCATTTATTGTAGAGACAAGGTCTCACCATGTTGCCCAGGCTGGTATCGAACCCTTGAGTTCAGGCAACTCTTTTGTCTCGGTCCCCCAAAGTGTTGGGATTACAGACTTGAGCCACTGCACCTGGCCACAAATGTCTGTTTTAGGAGGAATACTCTGGACTGCAATGTGAGAAGAGGTATGGTGGCATTTGCAGTGGGATTGGACGTACACTGCTGAATGGGTGGTTTTAGGAGACCAACTCCGAAGTTGTTGTTGATTGGACTTGAGGTGATGAGAGAAGGTGGAGTTGGGTAGGTGAGGCCTTTTACTGAATCCAAACTGAGGGATCTGTGTGCCTTTAAGAGGTTATCTGTTTCCCTCCCGTTCCCTCCTGTTCCGCCAGAAAGGAAGAAGCCACTTTCTGCTTGTCTTTCCTGGTCTTTTCCTGGGGCAGATCCCTGGGGGTGACTGGGCTAGAAAACGACTTCCTGACAGATTTAGAGAGGTGTGGGATTACCAAGGAGGGGGAGAATCCCTGACTCTGAGTTAGAGATGGGACAGCCGTCCGAGGGACTGAAAGGGGCTGGGAATATGGAAGTCATCCCTAACTCCTTCTCTCCCTTCCAAGTTTAATGACCCAATTATGAGCGTGTAATCGACGTGTCAATGACTCAGCGGTTTCAAACAAGTGATTTTATTTATCTCTTCGTATTCTGCCAACCAATCCCCCCACTCAGCCTTGAGTGTTTTCTTGTCTTCTTTTTGGAGGCGAGTTTGGAAGAGGGGTGGGCTGCTACAGTCTCAGCACTCATCTCCGCCGGCGGGCCACCCGCCCGGGTTTCTTTTCTCCTCGGCGCCTTCGGTTGGGGGCGGGAGGAGCGGCAGGAGTTGGGGCTGGGGGCGCGGGGCCGGGCGCCGGGCGGGCCCCACCCCCTTGCGAAGGCTTGTAGACCAGATGGAAGATGAAGGCGTTGCAGTACCTGAGGGAGGTGCGTGGGCGCGGTCGGGGGGCGGGGCCAAGGGTCAGGGGTCCCAGGGGGCGGGGCTTATGCCTCCCACCCCGGATTCCAGGGGATAGGGCTAGACTTGGGGGCTGGCCAGCTACAGGGTAGCAGGATCTTTCGTTAGGTAGGGCGAGGAGGTGGGGAGAGTTTGTGAGCTGGCTCTAAAGAGGGGTGTGTTGGGGGTTGCTGAGACTAGCCACGGGGGTGTTGAGTGGTGGGGGCAGAGAAGGCAGGTTGGAGGCCTGCGGGGAGGAGGGTCCCAGGACAGCAGGAACTAGAGCAGAAGTGGGCCTCTGAGGATGCGGAGCCAGAGTAATGGAAATTTAGGGTCAGGAAGGAAACAGGGAGGGGTCGCAGGCCCTTACCAGGGCATGCAGTTGTCCGCTGCTCTGAGGCGAAAGGGGGAGCGGAAGGGGTTGGGCTGCGGAGGGCTGGTGCCCCCTCCGGTGGCCACTGCCATGGTCTGGTCGTCCATCACACAGCCGTACTCGCTGCTCTCGGTGAAGAAGGCCGGCACTCGGAAGGACTAGGGTGGGGCCAGGTGTCAGAGACTGCGAGGCTCCTCCCCCAGACAGACTCATCCCCAGCAACCAGGATGACAGACCAAAACAGAGGCTCCCCTGGACAGACAGGGCTGGGGGAGAGGCATGAGGCAGATACAGAGAGGGGCAAGAGGACCTAGGGGCACTCCCGAGATCTGCGGAACACATGATGGGCAAGAGGACAACCTGGAGACTTCCAGAAAAGGAGATGAGGGGAGGGCCTCGGCAGGGGGTGAGGGAAGCTCCTTCTTGCTCCCATTCCCCACCTGTAACCTGGGCAGAGAGCTCAGCCAAGTGTCTTTGAGACCAAAGCCGGAGTTAAATCCTGTGGACAGAGAGAGATGAGAGGCTGGCTCCCTTGGCCTGCCTCTTCCTCACTTTCCCCACATGTTTGCCCTTGAGCCCTAAAGCTCTTACCAATAACCAGGTCAGGCTTGGGCCCCTGGAGTAGGTGGTAGGGCCTTGCTGACACCTTGATCTGCAGATCCCTGCGACAACCTCTCTCTTTAGTTCCAGAGCTGAGCCGTGATGATGCGCCAGAACCAGGACGGACAGATGCCTCAGGGCCATCCTGAGGGGCCAGGTGTGTGGGACACACTGGACATTAGAGTACTGGAGTATGTACCAGGCAAGATAGGGGAGGGGGAGGTAGAAGAGAGGGCCTGATCAGGAGGCCACTAGAGGGATCAGGGCAGAAGGGCAGGGTCCCCTCAGTTCTCACCCTCTGCAGGGTAAAATGCCGCTGGTCACTCTCAGGGGGCAGGCCATCCCCTACAAACTGCAGCTCCAGGGCCACATGGGGGAGCAGGACCAAGAGCTCCTGAAGGATGGAGAGGACAGGTCTAGGTCTCACCCTGTGTCCACTCCCACTCCCACACCCAAATGCCCAACCTTCAGGCCTGGGAGGACTTACCCAAAACACCATGACAAGGTCAAACTCCTTCCTGGCTTCTACCACGTGGATCTTCAGTGACTGTTTGTTCTGGATGTTGAGCTCAGGGACTAGGTGAGAAGTCAGCTCTTTAAAACCGTTGTCCTCCCTCACTTCCCTGCCTTGCCCCTGCATCATCCCCCGCTTCCACCCAGCTCTCCTTACAGGACTGGGGCACCAGGTGGGTGATGACGTAGTACACAGTCAGCGGGTAGGTGAGAAGCACAGCCATGGGTGAGTCCAAACTGAGACCCCGCCAAGCGTAATAATCCTGCCAGGAGCCTGGGGAGAGTGGGTTACTGGAAGACTTGGCCCTGGGCCTGGACCCCAATTCCTCTAGTAAATAGCACCCTTTTTCTCAGCCACCCCAGTTTGTGGCTTTCCAGTCCCTGTCCCAATCTGTAGCTCTCGTAGGACCCTTCTAGCTCACCAAAGAGGCTCCTGGGTGGATCTGGAGGCACAGGAGGCATCAGAGTAGGCCCTTCCCCCTGGAGAAGCTGGTAGGGATCTCCTGAGAGGATGAAAGAAGAAGAAAGGCCTGGGATCGGGGAGCCCCCAACCTGACCCATCTCCCTTTTTCTTCCAAAGGAGTTGTAGTCCCTGAGAGAGGGCCTGAAGCTGCAGCAAGAGGAAACAGGGTTTGCCTGGGGATGGGGCTTCTGGGTGGAGCTGGTAGGGGTGACTCCTTTGAGGGCTAGGGAAAGGCCTGAAATGCCCTTGGTGTGGGTAGAAGTTTGGGGTGTATGTAGAAAGGTTATCTAGGACCCAGACAACTTTTCCTCCCCAACCTTTCCCTCTAGGCTAAGGGGCCCATGCCTAAAGAGAGGCCCCACATACCACTGAGAAGGCTGAGGGATGGCGTGTTGCTCCAGGGGTGCCTGGGGGTGCCAGGGCCTGGAATCAGCATGCTGAGCTGGGTCCAGTAGCCACGAGTGAGGCCCCGAGAGGCCAGGAAGGCCTCCTTGTTAAAAGTTTCACTAGTCACCTCTAAAGAAGAAGAGAGGGAGGAGTTGAAGGACTTGTGGCTAGGATCCCAGACATTAGCTCTCCTCAGCCTCCCCCTGGGACCCTGGGTCTAAGTCTAGTTCCAGTCAGGGAGGGAAGTAACATTTCTGAATAGCTACAGGGTACCAGATACCAAGCCCACATACTTTTTGTAACAATTCCATGGGTCTTTACATTTGTTAATGTCTCTCTCTCTTTTTTTTTTTTTTTTTTTTGAGTTGGAGTCACCCAGGCTGGAGTGCAGTGGCACAATCACATGGCCACCACAGCCTCAACCTACTGGATCCTTCCATCTCACTCTTTCTAGTAGCTGAGGTAATTTTTTTATTTACTGTAGAGACAAGGTCTTGTCAAGTTGCCCAAGCTGGTCTTGAACCCCAGGACTCAGTCAATCCTCTTGCCTCCGCCTCCCAAAGTGCTGGGATTACAGACGTGAGAACTGAGGCTCCAAAAAGTAAAATGATTTCTTCAAGCTCACACTTTCAGTTAGTGGTAGAGTGGGGAAGCAAGTGAATATTTGAATCCCTATCTCTCCCTAGCCCCTTAAGCTTTCTCAGGGACCCAAGCACTCAGTTTTCCACTTCAGAGACCCTGTCTCTAGTCCTAAACACACAGCCCCCCATCCTCATTCCAGGGATGTAGGCTGGCCCCAGGCACTTAGCCTTCAACCCTAGGACCCTGTTCCCAGGCACCCCGGTCCCAGTACCAAAGACCTGGTCCCACTTTCCCCCACTCACTCTGATCTCCTTGTGTTACCTGCAGTGTAGGTAAAAGGCAAGGTTGCCAGTTCTCCTGCCCGCTCCATGAAGGCTGCAAGCCTTGGACACCAAAAACGGTGACTCACATCATCTGGGCACCGCCGCCAGTCAACCCGGAGACAAGCTTCTCCACAGTACAAGACTGCGCCACAGTGGGGGCTGGGGACACAAGGGGTGGTGGTCACCTAGTATTACTCTCTGTAGGTCCTGTCTACTGTCCATCTGCCCTCCAGCTACCCATATGTCATTTGGTCTCTCTAACTGCCTGTAAAGCCTCCATCTTCTTAACTCCCTGCCCCTCATTCTGTCTGCTAGGCCCTCCGCTGGCCTGCTTTATTTCTGTTTGTCTGACTGTTGAGGACATCCCCCTACTCTCCATCTTTGTGGGTTGCTCACCAGGGTGTCAACTTCACTTCAAAGCTGTGCCTGTGACAAACATGGCAGGTTCGAGCCCGAAGGGAAGCAAAGGTGAAACCTGGCCGGGGACCCCACGACCGCATTGGGGTCTTGGCTAACTTCACACCCAGCCTTGGAATCAGGCTCTCCAGTTCTCTGAATAGGGGTAGAGAAGGCATCAGATTGGGGGACTCAGTAGCCCAGGGCCCCAGACTTCCCCACTCTCAGATACCAAGTTTTTGTACCGATGCAGTTGGGCATCTCCCACAGTAAGCTGATGGGGCTTTCGGGGGTCCCCAAAGCCCATGGGGCAGGCCATGCTGTGGCAGAGGAGAGCATAGGCCCGAGGAGCCAGGTTCTCGGTCCCTGAGCCCCGGCCTGCAGTTCCCTGAGCTCCATCCATTAGCAGATCAATGCCCAAGATGGTACCATGCTCATCCGTCACCAGTAAGAGGCAGGAAAGGTGCAGGGGCGTAGTCTCTGGGGAAAGAGGGAAAAATTGAGGGGGAGCAGTGGGAGACAAATATGGTCAGAGGCAGGGGTACAAAACTCACATACCAACAGGGGCTAGGCAAATAACCTCAGCGAGCAAAGGGAACTAGGTAGAGAGGGCATGCTCCATCTAATGAGGACTGAGGCTGCACTACCAGAATGTGCTGCCATGAAGAAATGCAGGCCTACTGTCAGAACTTCAGATTTTTCTTGAGCATGTGTAAATACAGAATACTGAAGTTCTTTTCTTTACTTTTCTTTTCTTTTTTTTTGAGTTGGAGTCTCACTCTGCTGCCCAGGTTGGAGTGCAGTGGCACGCTCGCGGCCACCTGCCAGGCTCAGGCAATCCTTCTGCTTCAGCCTTCCAAGTAGCAGGAACTACAGGCGTGTACCGCTACATTCAGCTAATTTTTTGATTTATTGTAGAGATGAGGTCTTGCCATGTTGCCCCCAGGCTGGTCTTGAACCTGTGGACTCAGGCAATCCTCTTGCCTCTGCTTCCCAAAGTGCTGGGATTACAGGCGTGAGCCACCACACCTGGCCAAATTTTTTTCTTTCAATGTTTAAACAGTTGATTCAGATTAAAAAGCAAAAAATGTTGTGAGTCAATGAAAACACCTTTTCAGGCCAGATTGGTAGGGGAGGGGTCCAGAAGGGGAGTATGACTAGGCAGGGGGCAGGGCAGGGTCAGCCCTGGGTCTTACCATTCCTCCGTCCCTTCCTCTTCTCAGGTCCCTTCCTCTTCTCAGGTCCTGTTTGGTCCACCCAGTCCTCTCGGCAGCCATCCTCACCACCTCCTGCTTCCTGCTCAGCCTCCTCTGGCTCCCCTGGAGGGTTCGCTTCCTGGGGGGACTCCCTGCTGGTAGGGGCTGGCTCCCCATTCTTCTCTGGTTCCACCTTCTCTGTGCCTTCACCCTCCCTCTCTCCATTCTTTTCTCCATCTTCCTCCTCCTCCTTCTTTTCCTCCTCCTCCTCCTCCCCTTCCTCTCTGTCCTCTAGGCTTACAAAGCTGACATAGGGGCTCAGGTCTTGCAGGTGGAGTGGAGGCTCGTCTCCCAGGAGCCGGGCAGCCCCCAGGCCTGGTCCAGGGCCTGGCTCTGCCCCTTGTCCCAGGCTGATGCCTACACTACGGTTGGGCAAGACATGGAGCACCCAAAGGGCAGGGTCCTGGGGCAGCCTTCTGATCTGAGCCTCCAGCTGCCGCCTGCGGCCCTCAAGGCTGGCCCCTACAGCCCCGCGCTCTGTCACAAACTTTCGGAACCAGCCAAAGATGAGGGCAGCAAAATCAAGGAACTCATCCCGGTATCCAGACACAAACTCCATCTCTTCAGGGGCACAGGGCCTGGGCCCAACTGAGCAGAGGAAGAGATAGGGTGGTAATGAGAGTTTGGAGCGGGGTCACAAGTTGGGGAAGGAGGTGGGTTTGAGGGTCACTTAGATGAGTTCTATGGATGAGTGTTGGGGTTTTCAGGGCTGAGGTTGGGAGTTCAGAGATGAAAACGTGGGGCCGGACTTGAAAGTGGGCTACTGGGGTTGAAAATGTGTACTCAGGGATGAGATGGTACTTTGGGGCTTAAAATTTGAGGACCCAAACCCTCAAAGCAGGGTTTTAACTAAGGACAGGGATGATGGAGGGCTAATCCTATCGGAAAGGGGTTGGTGAGGTGGGAAAAATTTTGGATTCAGCTGTGGAGTATGGGAATAGGAGCCAGGGCATTCCGGGGGCTTGAATCGGTTTGGCGGTGGGCCTCAGAGACCTAGCACCTCCCAGCCGCCCTTCTCCGGTACCTGCAGCCGCCACCACTTTTCGAAGGTAAATACCTCGGGGGCGGCGGCGGGGTTCGGCCGTGACGTCAGGGCCGCCCGAGCTCACAGCCAGCTCCCCAGGTGGCCACGCCCCCACGGGCACCCTGTGTCCGCGGGTGGCAGCGGGGGCCGGGCGTGCGCTGCCAGACCCGGCGCAGCGCCTCTCCTGACCCCTTCACCTCGGCCATGTGACCGGGTCTCGCTCCGCTGGAACCGAAAAGTGAAAGCATCTTGGAAGAGGAGGGACTGTCCAGCCGTTCATCCATTTCGCAGGTGCGCGGACCGGCCCGGGGCGGTCGGAGGCGCTGGCTTCCCCGAACTGAACCGAATCGGCTCGTCGAGCCTCTGCCTGCCTGCCTGCCTCGCCTGCCCTGCGGCCTGAGTTTTCTTTCGGATTTTTTCCCCCCCAAACATTTCAGGCTGCCCCCTGGATTGAGGCTCGGTGCCCATCGCGTGGGCGCGAGGCGAGGGAGCTCCGCCC